ATTTTTCTCCATAGACTACGAGGAGCCTCGGTCATCTTGTTAGCAGTGCTGGCTGGCCTGCCATATTTTCTGACACCTGTGGGTAATTTGCATGTCTCTCTCTCTCTCTCTCTCTCTCTCTCTCTCTCACTGAAGGAAGGAGTTTCCAACTCTATATATAAAGCGGAATATAGTGACAATATAATGGTAACCAAGGTTGTGCATGAGGCTGGTGTTGTCTTATAACAAGAACCTTCACTTTGAGTAGATTATAACACTGAGGATGAGGCACTCTGAGCCACTAGCTGGCACTGTAGGTGCTCCGCCTCCCTCCCCCCCCCCCTCTCTCTCACTTGTGGCGTGTATATACTTGCTGAGTTGGTTAATTAGGTTTAAAACATGTCTACTACATAATGGGTCATTAAGACTGTATGTCACCTGTCCATAAGCAGTCGGGAATACTTTAACACTTAAAATAGTAATTAGCGTAAACTCAAGTGTATATACACTGAGACACGTACACGTTTGGGTGTACATGTCCTTGGCAGGCAGCTGAGTGGACACGTCTTAAGTGCTTCACCACCACTTCCATGTTTTTTGCTAAAGTTACATGTTAATAATCATATATGATTACCGGGATGCCCGCAGTCATCTCGCCGAATTTTTGTGAAAATATTTGATATATGTTTCTTTAACTGGAGCGAATTGGATTATTTTTAACACACACACACACACACACACACACACACACACACACACACACACACACACACACACACACACACACACACACACACACACATATATATATATATATAATATTATAGTGTGGGTGGGTGATTGCGTGTGTGTGTGTGGGGGGCTGGGGTGAGTGCGTGCACATGTGTGGGGTTATGGAGAGTGTCGGGGAGATAAACACAGTGTACAGAAGCGGTCTCTGTGATCTCCTGATGAGAGAGATTTCTGACTGCCACGCATCAGTGTTGGGGGGGGGACACCGGAAGCGAGGGGGGGTGAGGCGTCTGATGTTGGAGTCATGTATTAGTGTCAGCGTATGTATATTTATGCTTTGTGCATATCTCGGGGTTCTCACATCATTGTATACATGATTGTACACATCAGTGTGCACATAAATTGTTTTAATTGAGTTTAGTCAGTAAGTCTTGAAATATCTAGTCTGTGGAGGTTGTTAGCTGTGGAGGTTGTTATCTTTGGAGGTTAACTGTGGAGGTTGTCAACTGAGGGAGTTTATACTGACAGCTCGACCCACTGACTTCATCACCACCACCTCCACGTGTAACTACCTACATTAAATTACTGAATATTATGCTAATACAATTCCATTGTGTTGTGCCGGATGGAAGGTCTGAGAAAGTCTCTGGAAATTATAACTGATTCTATAACAAGCAAAGTCTTCAACTTATACGTCTCGTAAAACAACACTAACTTGTGGAATGTTGACCAGCAACGTTAACAATATTAATAGTGAAGAATAACTTGGGTTTCATACATGTTATACACTACCAAGGTCTGGTGTTCATGCATGTTATGGTCCGGAAACCACAGAACATGCCCAAGATTAATCGTTATAATTTTAGCTTCGTAAAACTGCTAACAACACCAGTAGATCATTAACAAGTGTTAGCCCAGACCTGACAGGTGCTTGAATAAAGTGCTGACGTTGTTACTGACACTACCTTAGCAACCAGAGGAGGGTTGTCAGCAACCACTTACTGATATGTACACCAAATCTCAGCCATTACCACTCGTAACACAATACTACCAGTAACATTATTACCAGTAACACAACATTACTGCCAGTAACGCATTACTGCCAGTAACACAGCATTGCTACCAGTAACGCATTACTGCCAGTAACACAGCATTGCTACCAGTAACACATTACTGCCAGTAACACATTACTGACAGTAACACAACATTGCTACCAGTAACACATTACTGCCAGTAACACATTACTGCCAGTAACACAGCATTACTACCAGTAACACATTACTGCCAGTAACACATTACTGCCAGTAACACAGCATTACTGCCAGTAACACAGCATTACTGCCAGTAACACAGCATTACTGCCAGTAACACAGCATTACTGCCAGTAACACAGCATTACTACCAGTAACACATTACTGCCAGTAACACATTACTGCCAGTAACACAGCATTACTACCAGTAACACATTACTGCCAGTAACACAGCATTACTACCAGTAACACATTACTGCCAGTAACACAGCATTACTACCAGTAACACATTACTGCCAGTAACACATTACTGCCAGTAACACATTACTGCCAGTAACACATTACTGCCAGTAACACATTACTGCCAGTAACACATTACTGCCAGTAACACAGCATTACTACCAGTAACACATTACTGCCAGTAACACATTACTGCCAGTAACACATTACTGCCAGTAACACATTACTGCCAGTAACACATTACTGCCAGTAACACATTACTACCAGTAGCACATTACTGCCAGTAACACATTATTGCCAGTAACACATTACTACCAGTAACACGTTACTACCAGTAACACATTACTGCCAGTAACACAGCATTGCTACCAGTAACACATTACTGCCAGTAACACAGCATTACTACCAGTAACACATTACTGCCACTAACACAGCATTACTACCAGTAACACATTACTGCCACTAACACAGCATTACTACCAGTAACACATAATTACCAGTAACACATAATTACCAGTAACACATAATTACCAGTAACACATTACCAGTAACACATAATTACCAGTAACACAATTACCAGTAACACATAATTACCAGTAACACATTACCAGTAACACATAATTACCAGTAACAACATTTCTCCCATTCCACACCCTCTCACTCCCACTCCCTCTTATACCTTTCTACAGACCCTCCCACAGCCCTCTCACGCTCCCATAGCTCCTCTCCCTCCAACATACCCTCACCCTCCCACACTCCCCTTCCTTCTCCCATCACACCTACTATATACTACCAACAAACTTCAGAGTAAAGTTCATAGCACACTTCTTAACACACTTCAAAGAGGCGCGAGACACTCATGGAAGCTTTCAAGTGTTTGAAGTGTCTTTCAACACTTTATAAAGTTGTTTGTGTGTGTGTGTGTGTGTGTGTGTGTGTGTGTGTGTGTGTGTGTGTGTGTGTGTGTGTGTAAAGAAGGGTGTGTGATAGGGAGTGTGTGCGTAAGACACCTCAGTGTATATAGCTGAGAGATGTATACCTCTGTGTGTATATAGCTGAGAGATGTATACCTCTCTGTGTATATAGCTGAGAGATGTATTCCTCTGTGTATATAGCTGAGAGATGTATACCTCTCTGTGTATATAGCTGAGAGATGTATACCTCTGTGTGTATAGCTGAGAGATGTATACCTCTGTGTATATAGCTGAGAGATGTATACCTCTGTGTATATAGCTGAGAGATGTATACCTCTGTGTATATAGCTGAGAGATGTATACCTCTGTGTATATAGCTGAGAGATGTATACCTCTGTGTATATAGCTGAGAGATGTATACCTCTGTGTATATAGCTGAGAGATGTATACCTCTGTGTGTATAGCTGAGAGATGTATACCTCTGTGTATATAGCTGAGAGATGTATACCTCTGTGTATATAGCTGAGAGATGTATACCTCTGTGTATATAGCTGAGAGATGTATACCTCTGTGTATATAGCTGAGAGATGTATACCTCTGTGTATATAGCTGAGAGATGTATACCTCTGTGTATATAGCTGAGAGATGTATACCTCTGTGTATATAGCTGAGAGATGTATACCTCTGTGTATATAGCTGAGAGATGTATACCTCTCAGTGTATATAGCTGAGAAATGTATCTCTCATTATAAACCTCTGTGTATACTTGTAGTTATCACTATAATACAACACGATACCCACAACTAATTATTAAGACACATGCAACACTTGGGTGTCTCTCCAAAACGTTTCACCTACACACTATGCTTCTTCAGTCGTAGACAAAGGTTAGTAAAATTGGAGATAGCAGAAGCAGTGGTGAGGTAAAGACAATGTTGTCAGTCCCTCAGCTTTGTAGTAGTAGTTTTGTGTTGATCAGTCCCTCAGTCTGGAGACATGTTCACCTCTATGGTATCATGATTAAGACGATGGAACTGGAAGCGTCTCCATTTTGAGGGACTGACCACCTCAAAACTACTACTACAAGGCTGAGGGACTGACCATATTATCTTTACCTCACCACATCTTCTACTGTCTCCAATTTTACTCACCTTTGTATACGACTGAGGACGCCTACTGTTTAGGCAAAACGTTTCTGGAAAGACACGCAAGTGTTGCACATGTGGATATTGTGTAGCATCAGTAACGTGATATCTGCCGTTGTAATTACTAACACTGAAGACTGTCCACCAACACTGTTGTTGTAGCAACTGGTAGACAGTCACACATTATAATGGCAGTCTTTGGTGTGTACAGGCGCGGTACGCCATCGAGAGAGGGGCGACGGCGTTGCTGGTGGACATCGATGACCTGGTCAGTGCTCAGGAGGAGCTCTTCGCTGAAGACGCCGCCAGGGATGTGCTCAAGAGACCCCTTGTGGTGCTCCTACCGACTCAGGCCCGTAAACTCTACAGTTTTATCATGTGAGTCATGTGTGACGCGTGAACCTCTTGTGTGACGTGTGAACCTCTGTGATGTCTTGTGTGACGTGTGAACCTCTGTGATGTGTGACGTGTGAACTTGTACTTGATCATGTGATGTGAAACTTATCATGCGAGTCATTCTAACATGATTGATGGTTAGTGGTGTTGGCTTGTTGATGCCTCACAGAAGATTCCTTAAGGGACACGTAAGTACCCCTGTCTTTTAATAACATGCTCATTTTTCCATTGTAATCTACCTTGTCCATGATTATTATCGCATTTGCTTTGTTTCGTAAGGTGAAGTCTGGGATCTTTACCAGTACAGAACAACAACACATGTTATTGTTCTGTACTGATAAATTAACTGGTTCAAGACTCAAGCTACGGCTGATGTGTGATACACTTCCCTTACAATATATTTGGTCACTTTTTTAAAAAAATAGTGGTTTTAAAATATTGGATATAATATTCGAACGATAATTAACTTATGTCTGCCTTCATGCAATTAATGCTGTCAACGAGTCACCGTCGTCGTTACAAGCTGCAATAATTTAGTCATGATAATAGTCTTCTCTTCTCTGTTTACTATATCTGAGTTGCTTGATATTATTTCTACCCAGGAGAGTAGAGGAACTTTTTTCCGCAACTGTACATCATACTGTCAGGTCATAGTGATCCAGGATGGAGAGAAACTTAGTCATAAGGTTTGCCTCCTTAAGTGCTTATGTTTGGTGAATTATTGCAACCATGGTGTTGTTAGTGTTGCTTTCAACTTGCAGTGCTAAGGCAGTTATGATGAATTAGACACTTGGGTTACTTTATTGTGGAAACGTTTCGCCAACCAGTGGCTTCCTCAGTCCGGTTCAGAGAAGAATGCTTGTTTGAGGTAATCAGTCCTTCAGCCTGGAGTCGATGTGATAAGTCCATTAATCTTGTTATAAACCTTGGGCCCCCACTAACACGTTCCTGTACTCTACCCTTCAGGAGGCCGATGACCTCCTACGCTCGCATCGAGATCCCCCCGGCGCGGGACCACTTCGACTTGGGCATCTTCCTGACGTGCTTCCTGCTCATCTGTCTGGTGTGCCTGGTCATCGTGGTCAAGATGAGGTGGAGGAGGAACAACAAACAGGTAACTCACTCTCTCAAACACCTCATTAATCTCATTCATATGTAATTTTCTCTGGACTGACCTCGCTTTTTTGGCCTTACTCTATAATTGCCTATCCTATTCTTTGTCGTGATTGTTGTCAGTGTTCCTCTGGTGTTGTCAGTGTTCCTCTGGTGTTGTTAGTGCTCCACCCTCTAGTGTTTTCCTTATGTAGTGCTACTTTCTAGTGTTCCGTAGCAGTTTTGTTATAAGATTTTGTTCGGCTTTTTAACCCCGGAGGGTTATCCACCCAGGATAACCCGAGAAAGTGAGTGCGTCTTCGAGGACTGTCATAACTCCATTGTGGACCTTAAATCTTGACTCCCCAGGATGCCACCCACACCAGTCAACTAATACCCAGGTACCTACTTGATTACTAGGTGAACGGGATAACAGGTGTAAGGAAACACGCCCAATGTTTTCACCCTTGCTGGGGATCGAACCACGGACACTCAGTTTGGGAAGTGGGAGAGTTGCCTAGCAGGCAGTGTGGGTAATTAGGTAGTATTGCTAGTGTTGTTACCACCAGCAGACACACACTTCTAAGTTGTCTTAAGGTGCTGGGAAATTATACTTGGACTTCCTTGTGTCGTCTCACACAGTAACAGTAGTGTTCCTTGTTCCTCTGTTACTTTACTGTGTCGCAGGCGCCGCACGCGTCTCGCCATACGTCCCCGCATGTCTCCGCCGCATGCGTCCCCGCGTAGATTTTGAGCGCACAGTGGGAGAGGATAATCTAGTTGGTGTTATTGATGATAATACCAGGACTCTGCCTACTTTCCTATTATTTGGCAATCTGTCGTGCCAAGATATGTATCTGAGAGTGCCGAGGCCTTCCTAGAATACCCTCGCCATCTTCAAAGGGCGGTAGGGTGGGCGTGCGGGCGGGTGCAGCAAGGACAACACAGATGTTAAGCCTCCACCACCACCCACCCACCATACACATTCCGCGCCATCTTTGATCTCCCTCACTCGTCCTGATCCACGGCCCATGACTTCGCACGCTGGCGTCTTTGCCTTCCTACGCTTGGGCAACCCTCCTGCCAGGTTTTACGGGTTTCTTTTTGTTTTCTCTTGAGGGAGGTATTTGAAGGTGGGTGGAGGGATGTTTGGAAGAGCGTACTTTGTGTTTTTGTCTTGGTGGTGGTAGTCGAGGTCGGCGTGTGGGGTTACAGACACGTCCCTGCATGCCAAATATCTCAGCTCAACTCTGGTGAATTTTATAATCAACTTGTAATAGAAAGTGAGGTAGTGAATCAGTCCTCCCTGGAGGCTCTCTCACACTGTTTCTCCCGCTAATACTTTATTAAACTGGCTTTATAAACTGGCTTTAAACTTGCTTTATAAAGCCGCGCCCCCATGTAAGCGCGCGCGCGCGCACACAACACACGCGCGCGCGCGACACACACACACACACACACACACACACACACCACACACACGTCATAGAACACACTGCACACTCGCGTGCGCACCGAAAAACGACACACCACCTCACCACCTACACACTCTCCACACCACTCTACCCACACACAACACCACGACTGTTTATATATACCTTTTTGTTGTCGTGTGCTCGTTTGAACACAATCTCTACCTCTCTTATCTCTTCCTTCTTCTCTCCTTTTCTTCACCTTTTCTTACTACCACTTTATCTCCCGATCTCCATTACCCCTACCTTCTTCTCTCTTATTAACCACTCCATCTCTTACCTCTTTTCTTCCCTCTCCCTCCATCACATCCTTCCACTTTCTAACCCTCACAACACTCTACCCACCCCCATACCTCTCCCCAACACACTCCCCACCTCCCCCATACACTCTCCCCAACACACTCCCCACCTCCCCCATACACTCTCCCCCAACACTCCCCACCTCCCCAACAAAAGTTTTTCTGTTTACTTAATGACACGTCTAACTTGCTCACACACTTGTGGGTGCTTACACTTCATTTCTTCTTCTCTCTCTCTCTCTCTCTCTTTCTCTCTCTCTCTCTCTCTCTCTCTCTCTCTCTCTCTCTCTCTCTCTCTCTATCTCTCTCATCTCCTCTCTCTTCCTCTCTCTCTCTTCTCATCGTCTGCTAGCCCTGCACCCCGCAGAATATCCTAGGCCTGGGGCTCCTTCTCTGAGGCCGCACTCGCTAAAATAATTAGGCTATGACTGCAAGGCAGACACACATGAAAAAAATCCAGAGAAAGAGAAGACTAACAGAGGTGGAGCACAAGGCTGGGCTCCCAGGTGGAGCACAAGGCTGGGCTCCCAGGTGGAGCACAAGGCTGGGCTCCCAGGTGGAGCACAAGGCTGGGCTCCCAGGTGGATCACAAGGCTGGGCTCCCAGGTGGAGCACAAGGCTGGGCTCCCAGGTGGATCACAAGGCTGGGCTCCCAGGTGGATCACAAGGCTGGGCTCCCAGGTGGATCACAAGGCTGGGCTCCCAGGTGGATCACAAGGCTGGGCTCCCAGGTGGATCACAAGGCTGGGCTCCCAGGTGGATCACAAGGCTGGGCTCCCAGGTGGATCACAAGGCTGGGCTCCCAGGTGGATCACAAGGCTGGGCTCCCAGGTGGATCACAAGGCTGGGCTCCCGGGTTTGGATCACAAGGCTGGGCTCCCAGGTGGATCACAAGGCTGGGCTCCCAGGTGGATCACAAGGCTGGGCTCCCAGGTGGAGCACAAGGCTGGGAAGCAGGGAGGGAGGGAGGGAGCAGAAAGGGAGGCAGTAAGACATTTAGAGACAAGTGGTCACTCAGACAGTTGGTTACCCATACACCTGCATAGTAATGTTAGGAAGTATTTCTTCAGCCTTAAAGTTATGATGAAGTGGAACAGTCTGGAGTGTGAAGTAGTGGAGACAGGAACCACACAGCTTTAATATGAGGTACGATAAGGATGTTGGAGTAGGGAGAGAGTGGACTAGTAGCAACCAGCGAAGAAGCGGGGCCAGGAGCTGTGACGACGTCTGCAACCACACATTAGTAACGTCCTTCAGCTGTTTTACCTCCAGGCTTTCAAGTCCCGCTAACCGGTTTCCCTGAATCCCTTGATAAGTGTTACCTTCTCACACTCCAACAGCACGTCAAGCCATAAAAGCCATTTGTCTCCACTCACTCCTATCTAAGACGCACACGCTCTCCTGCCGGTTACTGAGATATAAAACCAGAGAGAGAGGAAGGAAGGGAGCACTGGTAAAGTGCAATACAGCGTCAGACATGACAGTAGACAGGAGTGACGGGGGAAGTTAGATAGTGGATCTTGACCTATCTGAATGATAGACATGGATTGTATGGAAGAGAATGCTTGACGGATCTGGCACGAGAAGTGGCAGCCCCTGGAGGTTAGTACTAAGACAGCTGCTGTTGCTGGCGTATGGTGATGATAGGCTAGAGGGGCTGGAATTGTCTCATGCACACCCTGTGAAATATTGAGACAGCCAACCAGTCAGGTAAGGTCAGGTCAGGTCAGGTCAGCCAGTCTGTGTGTGAATTAAATGTTGCGGGGGACCTTCCCTGCCCACACTAACACTGCCTTCTCTTGTCCACACCCACAATACCACCTTTCCCGCCCCCCCCCACACCCACACTGCCTCCCACGCCTCACACTCACAAGCGTCTCTCAAAGGCTTGTTAACGATGAAATTTAAGTCTCGCGTCAACAACCTAGAAGATTGGTCACTACATGGGTCTCCTTGCCTCCTTCCTCCCTCTGGGATAAAAAGTGGTATCTTAGGATACCAGGTTACAGGGATAGAGGGATACCTGGGCTACATAGCACACGCACAAACATCAAGTGAGAAAACACAAACTAAGCTAACACTTACAAGACATTACTTGTTACAAGTGTTGAGTGTTCAACAACAACAACAACAACAATACTCGCTGTGTCAGCCGAGGTCACTTGTAATATTCACCAGGAAGAGCTAAACCTGTAAGGGTCATAAAACGCCTGGGAATGGGAGGTATTAGTTTGATCCAAGGAAAGAGTGGGTGGGTCTTTTTCCTCTTGGATCAAGAGCCTTCCAGTATCATGCACCCCAGGTAGACCCCTCCCCCTCATCTCGATAGATAGTACATGGTACCAAGTGTTTATTTTACACCCCCACACCTACCTGTCTGCCTACCTACCTACATATCTACCTACCCACCTACATATCTACCTACCTACCTACCTACCTACATATATACATACCTATCTACCTACCTACCTACCTTGTACCAGCACATCACCTGCCACCAACACAGTGTTAAATTCTTATATTTTATATCAGATTTCGCACGTTTCTCACGGCTTGGTCCAGCCTAGAACCTGAATTCCTGGTAAGCCTGGAACCTGACCTCCTGGTAAGCCTGGGACCTGACCTCCTGGTCACCCTGGGACCCGACCTCCTGGTCAGCCTGGGACCCGACCTCCTGGTCAGCCTGGGACCCGACCTCCTGGTCAGCCTGGGACCCGACCTCCTGGTCAGCCTGGGACCCGACCTCCTGGTCAGCCTGGGACCCGACGTCCTGGTCAGCCTGGGACCCGACGTCCTGGTCAGCCTGGGACCTGACCTCCTGGTCAGCCTGGGACCTGACCTCCTGGTCAGCCTGGGACCCAACCTCCTGGTCAGCCTGGGACCTGACCTCCTGGTCAGCCTGGGACCTGACCTCCTGGTCAGCCTGGGACCCAACCTCCTGGTCAGCCTGGAACCCGACCTCCTGGTCAGCCTGGGACCCGACCTCCTGGTCAGCCTGGGACCCGACCTCCTGGTCAGCCTGGGACCCGACCTCCTGGTCAGCCTGGGACCCGACCATCTGGTCAGCCTGGGACCCGACCTCCTGGTCAGCCTGGGACCCGACCTCCTGGTCAGCCTGGGACCCGACCTCCTGGTCAGCCTGGGACCTGACCTCCTGGTCAGCCTGGGACCCGACCTCCTGGTCAGCCTGGGACCTGACCTCCTGGTCAGCCTGGGACCTGACCTCCTGGTCAGACTGACTGGTGGCGCTC